TTATCAAAGTTCAAATCTTCACTAAATCTTCTCTAAAAATTACTGTTAGATTGTTAAGGGAAACTAATAATAAGACGTCAAAAGTTTCTAGTGAACTGCACGATAGATGGTGCACAACAGTGAAAGTTCCCTTTATTTATGCATTAATGATAGTTGCTAATGAGAGCTATTCTAATTAGATCCACAGTAACTCTAGGGCTTCTTACCGACCTTTCCGCAAACAGCAGCTTGAGATCCAGATTTTCTGAAACTGAAGGCCACCATTGGACAAAAGAGGAAGCTGCGGTTCCATAGTGTGAAAGATTACTTTGATCTTTAAATGAAGTCAGAGCAACAAAGATGTCATTTGATGTCTATTAAGAGTCACCCCAGAATGTTTAATAAAGTTTGGCTGCAACCACCTTGGTTGCTAAAGCTGGTTTGAACCAGACTGTCTGGTCTTCTATTATGGCCATATTCAGAACTTGGGCTGAAATCCACGAGCCTGTTAACATGATTCTGGACTGATCACTGTGTTAAAGATATACATGTTCTTCTTGGCTATATGCCTGGTATTTGGAATTTAACAACATATCCAGAACTATGGCCTGGGGGATTGGTGGAAAAAAATATTCTTCAGCATTTCAACTGGTATGCAAAAATGGATTGTCAATACGTTGTCAACATTTTTGTTGTTACTGCTGCTGATCAAGTCAAGGAAGCAGAATTCAAACAAAAACAATCAGTTTGGGGAGTCCTTCTGTTACGATCCAGATTTCCGGATTTGTTTTACCTTTACTTTATTTTTATTATTCCTACACTTTATTAATACTTTTTATCCATTTGAGATAAGAATCTGTGATTAATGAGTGTCTTCCTGCCTTAAGCGCAGCACAAAGAAATACACGTGCAAGCCTAATTTTTTTTTTTCTGGAGATAATTTTTTTTGCTCCTAATTTATTTGTTTATTAAATTTAGTTGCCGCTCATCTCACTACAAGGTGACTCTAGGTGGTTTACAAGGTTGAAAGCAGTAAAACGATATATGTACGTTTAATAATAATAATATATATTCAGAATTCAGTCAGAACTGAAAAAGCTTCTTGGATGAGAAATGGAACGTTTTCAAGGGAAAAAAAACAAGAAAGTCCAGTTGCCTTTGAAAAGCACCTTTGGGACAGCCATGAGTGGATGATGGAGAATCTCCATAGACATTTACCTACATTAACCTGCCAATCATTTGCAAAGGATTCCTAATGGAAAATACAGTGGATTTTTTTAAAAAAAATCTGATACTTTAATTAGAATAGTAACAAATGGCTACGGCCATAGCTTCTTTACCCTTAGATGGAATACTTACTATCAAACAGCATTTTCTGTTTGAACTCATTTCTTCAAATTTCTTCAAAAAGTGTTTGAAATAGAATAACAGCGTTGGAAGAGACCTTGGAGGTCTTCCAGTCCAATTCTCTGCTCGAGCAAGAGATCCTATACCACTTCAGACAAAGTCCAGTCTCTTTTTGAAAACCTTCAGTGATGGAGTTGATGGAGCACCCACAACTTCTGAAGGCAAAGCTATTCCATTGGTTAATTGCTCTCACTGTTAGGAAATTTCTCCTTAATTCTAGGTTGCTTCTGTCCTTGGTTATTTTCCAACCACTGTTTCTTATCTTGCCTATTGGTGCTTCGGAAAAGTTTGACCCCCCTCACCTTGGTAAGAGCCCCTCAACTATCATGTACTATTATGTGTCCTCTAGTCCTTCTTTTCACTAGACTATAGAGGTGCCCAATTCTTGTAACCATTGGTGGGATTCAAATATGTGACCAACCGGTTCTCTGCGTGGATGCTGCTTCCGGAAGTCCATTCTGGGCCCGGGCAACAAAAAATTAGCTACCGGTTCTGCCGGTTAGGCTGAATCCCACCACTGCTTGTAACCCTTCTTCCTACATGTTAGCTTCCAGCCCCTTCATCGTTTTTTTGCTTTGCTCTTCTCTGCAATGGACATTCTGGAGAACTGACTTCCCTTATGTCAGAGAAGGCTTCAACGCCCACCCCCCCACCCCACGCTGGCACCCTTTCCAGGCTTTCGCCCCAAGCCAGTAAATCAGTAAATTTTTCGTGCATCTATTTCGTGCGGCCGGCCTGGCGTAGTCTTAATTAGGTTTTAGTATAGGTTTTTATATGGGGTATTTTAGAGCAGGCCTTTATTTATTTAATTTGATTTTAGAATAGATATGTATTGTGATTTTTTATTATCGCCTGTTCACCGCCCTGAGTCCCGTAAGGGAGATAGGGCGGTATACAAATCTAAACATAAACATAAACATAAACACAAAAGGCTAGGCTTTCCAACCGTTAGTAGCCAGCCTCCTATGTATGTTTCATTCAGAAAATAATGCCTCCCTATAATCCCCAGTGGAAAAAAAACCCTTTCCAAATCAACAAACCTCGCACCGCGTCTGCCCTTCTTCCTATTCTTACTAAGCCTCCCCACGCGCTTTCCTTGTAAAAAAAGAAAAAGAAGGGGAAAAAAAAACTGTGCCTCGTTTATACAGAAACGCATTTTTCGTCGGGCTGGTCCGTTTCTCCCAGGGCAAGCGTTCTGCTTCTCACGTACACTAAACACGCAGAGAGGGTGAACGGGGGCGGTGGTGGTGGTGGTGGTGGGGAAGTGGGGAGGATAGGAAAGGGGAGGGGAAGGATAGGAAGGGAGGGGGGGGTGGCGGCGGCGGAATTGCAGCTAACACTTGTACTCAAAACGTCTCCTTGGGATAATCCACCCAACACGGTCCCCTCCCTTTTCTCCTCCCCGCGTAGCGCCCTGGAAAATCGGCTAGGTGATTGGATTACCTTTCTTTGAATGGAGGCGGGGGACGGGAAGGAGGGAGGGGGGGGTAGGTGGGTGGGAACCAGCCGCGAAGTTACATTCATGATGCAATGCCCCCGCACCACGTGTTAAGTTATATTCGGCCCTGCTGCCTTGCCTAGGTCTGCTTCCTTTGGGTCTTCTTCTTTTTTGGGGGGGGGGGGAAGAGGGGGCGACTGCCTGTTCTGACTGCGGTCCCTCGAAACCGCTTGCCCCCCCCCACTTCCCATCCTAGCCCTTGCCCCCCCCACTTCCCATCCTAGCCCTCCGTCGAAGGAGGCTTCGGATTTGCCCCATCCCAAGGGCGTCTTAACGTCCCACGGTTCTTTCTTTGTAGGCTCAGGAACCAAAGGCAGCGGAGTCAGCGGGGTCGATCCCCAAAGAAGGGGGCGTCCGACGAAGAGGGACCCCCCCCCGCCTCGGAGCCTCGTGGAGGAAAAACCCCGGAAAATAATTCACGGACGCCCCCTCCTCCCGAATAAAGCCCAATTTGCAATTTGGGATGGTGAGGGTTGGGGGGGGGAGGGAAATAACGGGGCATTCCCGGGAGGGGGGGGAAAGGGGTGCGTGGATTTTGTTTTTGTTCACCCCGAANACACGTCTCCCTTCCCCCCCCCCCCCTTTTTTTTTCCCCTTCCTCCCCCCCCCCCCCCCCCCCCCCCCCCCCCCCCCCCCCTCCTCCCAGATTCCCCACCCACCCCCCCCCCCAGCTCCCCCGAAGCGAGGCTTCTTTAGGGCAAATAGGATCCCGCCGATTCCCCCCCCCTTTCCATTCCTGGGGTGCATTGGGGATTTTAGTGGCGTCCCCCCCAGCCTAAAATTAAAAAAGGGGAGGGAGCGGAGCGAGAGCGGCTGCCTCCTCCGGCCGGGGTCTCGAACACCGACTGCTGCGGCGTTGCAACAACCCAAGCGCGCCCTGGCAGGGGAAATGAATGTAGCCCGCGCGAGCCAATGAGCTGGGACCGGATGCGATATATCCTCTAGGACAACAACTGCTCTGTTCCTCCTCAGATCCACATGACGCCATTTACTTTTGCTTTTGCGGAGAGATCACCCTGCCTCCTCCGGAAAGGAGAAGAAGGAAAAAAAAGAAAGAAAGAAAGAAAGAAAAGGGAAAAAAAAAAAAAAAAGCCAGAGAAGGAGGGGAACGAGGGAGCAGCAGAAAAACGCCGAAGCTCTCAGAGACCGGATCTCAAACCTGCTTTTCTGCAAAGATACAAGCAGCAGCAGAAAGCAGCCGCTGGTTATTTTATTTTTTTTTCCCCTCTCCCCCTCCCCTTTAAAACAACAGCAACTCCCCCCCCCTTTTTTTTTTTTTTTTTTTTTGCAATCAGCAAAGCTGCCTTGGGAGAGAGAGAGAGAGAAAAGAGAGAGGGGGGCAAAAAAAAACACGCACTCACGTACAGCACACAAACTCCGAGGAAGCAAGCAAGCAAGCAAGCCACCGACCACTTTTTTTAAAAAGAAAAGAAAAGCTACCCTCCCTTCCTTTTTCCTATTTTTTTCCCCCCATTATTATTATTATTTTTTATTTTGCAAACGGTTTTGCAACCGATCGGGAGTCTGGGGAAGCCGAGCGATCCGAAGAAAAAGCCGCTCTTGGTTGGGCTGGAAAACGATCTGAGCCGAGAGAAGAGAGCTCATCCAAGCCAACTCCAGGAATCGTAATTTTTTTTTTATTTTTCATTTTTTTTTTATTAAAGAAACCGCTCTTCGCGTCGTTGGCCGGGGCTTGTCTTCCCCTCGCGACTCCTTTCCGCGTACGGTGCACGAAGAGAAGAAAAGTGGCTGGAGAATGACGAATCGGCCTTTTCATTGATAAAAAAAAACAAAACACAACAACAACACAAGCGATTAAGGAAACCGTCGTGAGATCGCGAAGGGGGAGAGAGACAGAGAGAGGAAAAAAAAAACAAATCCTCGCTGGATCGGAAAAGAAAAAGGGCGGTTTTTTTTGTGTGTGTGTGCGTTTTGGTTTTTTTTTAGAAATCCGTTGATTGTGGTGCAGCGGCGTGTGGCTCTCTGGCTTACGACCTGTTGTTATTTTTTTCCCCTCTGGAGAAGAGTGCAAGCAGAGAGAGAGAGAAAGAGAGAGGAAAAAAAAAAAAAGCCTCCCAAGTTTGCAGTGGATTTTTTTTCTCCCCCCTCGGTTTAAAAGCAAAACATTTCGATGCTTCTGGCTTACAACCTGGACTCGAAGTGAGTTTGCAAACGGAAGAAACGCTTTCCTGTTCTCTCTTATTTATTTTTTTTCCTTTTCGGCTTCTGGGGTTGCGTTTACTCGCCCGTCGCAGGAAGGAAGACGCGGGGAGAGACCCTCGGGGGAGGGGGAGAATTGGGGGGTGGGGGGTGGAGAAGACTTGGAAGTCAGGGTGACCTCGCTTGCACGGCGGCCCCTTTGCCCTTCCGTTGCAAAGCGAACTCCCGGGAGGAGAGTAAACCAAGGCTTGCCCAAAAAAAACGTGCGGATCGGAGCCGTTTGCCCCGGTGTGCGAGACGGCGGGGTTTCCCCGGTTTGCTCCCCCGGTCTCCCTCCCTCCCTCCCTCGTGGGGACGGGAGGGCGATGGAGCCTGGCGAGGTGGCTTGGAAAGGGCGCGCGGGGGGCTGAAGTCCCGATTTCTCGGGTGTGTGGGGGGGGGGTCACCCTGCTGGTCCCCTTCCGCTTTTTTGCGGAGGGCTTTGCAAGCGTGGGAGCACCCACGCACCCACCCCGCGGCCCGATTGTCAGTGGGAGATGGCGTGGTGGTTTCCAAGGGCAGGTTAAAAAAAAGAACTTGCAGGAGAGCAACTTTGTTCCCCGGATCGAGGCGCCGGGAAGCTCGCCTGCAGCCCGGACCCTTTGCAAAGCGAGGCTCCGGCTAAATCCAGAGCCCCGTTTGGGGGGGGGGGGTGTCTTCAAACCTGTCACAGGTTGGGCTTCCGCAGCCCCAAAACTCTGAAATCGGGGTTCTTTGGCTTGTGCTCGGGCTTCGCTGGCCTCTTTGGGCGGGGAGGTGGTGGTGGTGGTGGTGGGGAGAACCTTGCGGAGTTGGAGCTTTTTCTGGGTGCCATTCGGAAGTGAGAGAATGTAAATCTGTTTCTCTCTCTTTCCACCCCCCCCCCCGGGGCCTTCTCTTCCCCTTCTCTGCTTGGGAAACAAGATTGGAAAGGGGGGGGGAGCAAGGCCGCTGCCAAATCACTTTGTGTGCAAGGCTTGTTGACATCTGCCCTACCAGTTTCCTTGCCTTCTATTTTATTTTGGGGAGGGAGAGGGGGGGGACACTCCTTGTTTTTTGGGGGAAAAAAAGGCTGGCAATCTCCCTTCCTCCCCCCCCCCCTCCACCTCTTAGTTTGGGCCGTTTTTTCTAGCTGCAGAGATTTAACCTCCGGGGCCGTAAATATGACACGAAGACAAGGCGATTCAGTGGCAGGAAACCACGGTGGAAGGTTCTCAATGGCTCGGAAACTTTGCGTTTATTCCTTTCTCCTTATACGCCTCTGTCTGTCAAAGAAAGGGACCTGTCTGTATGCGCCTTGTCAATTTCCCCTAATAGCGACTTTTTTGAGAGAGAGCTGTTTAGAAACTTGTAGGGGGAAAAGAGCATTTTCCTCCCTATAAATCTTGTTTTTGGGCAATGGCACAAAAGCCATCTCGCTAAATATACATATATATATATCAATTGTGGTGGGGGGGGAAACCATCGTTTCAAAAGAGGAGTTTAGCTGCTGGTTTTTTTTTCCCCCAACACCTGTGTGACATTCAGAGAGAAATCAGTCTATTGGGTGTGTGACTTTGGTCTTATTCATAGGTCAAGCTCCCTCCACCCCCAGCCCCCTTATGGGCAAATGACATTCTGGGGGCTGTTATTTAGTTATTTATTTCAGGAAAAGTTCAGGTTTTCTCATGCCTTGAAGTGTGTGTGTGGTGGGGGGGGGGAGGTTGATTATGCAGATCAAATCAAAGAGAGAGGCTAGAGAGAATACTACCTTTTAAAAGTATTTTCCTGGGCTCCTGGAGGAGAGAATAATAACATCCTACCAAAAGCAACATTGAAGGGAGTCTTATACATTTAGGGCCAGGGAAAGGAATAAGAGAGAGAGAGAGTCAGAATACCTGACTTGAAGGTATTCCTGAATGGAACTGCTATCTAGAAGGCTTTACATAAGCAGAGTCCCTGTTTGGGAGGAGAGAGGAAGAGAGACAGAAGCTTTCCTGATAAGGCAATCTTATTAGTAGCCCCATTCTCACTGCTTTTTCTCTCCCACCTCCGCCCAGCCAGGAAGTTTCTTATCTCCAGGTTTCTTCCTGCAAGATCAGGACAGCTTAGAGGCAAACAAGTAGTGTGGGTTCCAAAAATCCCACCTTATCAGCCTGCTTTATTTATATAAATATATATATATATGCAGAGGAAAAGTCTATAATAAGAGAAGGAGCTATGCTTGGGTTGCCAAGAGGAAGAATCAGCTCAAGTGGGAAGATGTCAAACTAATCTTTTTTCTAGGGCAAAGCTTTGTCACGGAAATCCTAAACGTACAATATGAAACCTCCAGGCTCCTGCGTTTTCCCCTGTGCAGGATTTTTAAAAAAGCAACACCCATTTTTTTTTAATACGGTTATTGCAAAATAGGTCTGTACCTGACTTTCCTCCAGCACTAACTAGAGAGTTCTGTTTGTTCATGTTCTTAGAAGGCAAATGGAAGTCAGAATTTTAAGTGCTTCTCCAAAGTGGTTTTTGAGGAATGAAATGCTTTGCAAGCCAAATGTCCATGAGAGTGTGGCCATTTCTTGCAGGTTTTCTCAGAAATAAATCCTGCAAAGTTCTCTAGACAGGCAATGTTTGAATGCTTGTATATTCGAAAGTGTTGTCTGCGGAATTGCAGGGAGCATAATAAAGTTTAGTTTGATAGCCTTTACGGTTCACCTTTGTGAAATAGATCTTGCTAAATCTTGAGAAAGTAAGAATTACAGTTTCTCTCTCTCTCTCTCTCTCTCTCTCTCTCTCTCTCTCTCTCTCTCTCTCTCTCTCTCTCTCTCTCTCTCTCTCTCTCATTCCAGTTTGACATCTTTGTTACTCTGAGCATAGTTCATTGTGCTTCTTACAGCTAAGCAATAATGCTTTAGGAAGCCCAGTTTTAAGTTGGAGCAGCGGTGTCACATGCTGTTCCTGGAACTGTGTGATTTATTGTTAATGTGTAGGATGTTTGCCCATGTAAGCCAAACCACCTTTTCTGGCTATGTTCAGGAAGTGAATGGATTATCTCTGGGTGTTATGAATGCACAATGCAAACCCTGACAGTGCTTAGCATTGTAATGTGTCTCTGCTGGTACTTTGAATTGCAAAGTGGAACACAAATGCAAAATTCTGAAGAGAGAGGGGGTGGGGTCCGGCTTTTCGGGGTTTGTTTGTTTTTTCACCTCACATAAGACTAACCTCAAATACCCAAAAGCATTTGTTTATTCAATTTGATGACTCCCAGAGCCAAATAACCTGACTGTCTTTCCTGCTACCATTGCATAGAATTGTTCCTTTTCCTCTCTGCATTATCTTTACGTTGTTTCATGGGCTGCCAACATTTTTCCTAGATTGCCCCATAACGTTCAGAGCTACTGTTCTCTACCATTTTGCTCCCAGAGCTTCAGGGCTACTAACAGGTAGTCCTCGACTTATGACCACAATGGAGCTCAGCATTTCCGTTGCTAAGCGAGACATGGTTACGTTTTGCCCCATTTTACGACCTGTCTTGCCACCGTTGTTAAGCGAACTGCTGCAGCTGGTTTAGTTAGTAACACGGTCATAAAGCGAATCTGACTTCCCCGTTGATATTTGCTTGTCAGAAGGACCCCCGGGGCACTGCATAAATACACGAAGGGTCATAAATACGTGCCAGTTGCCAAGTGTTTGAATTTTGATCACGTGACCCTTGAGGATGAAACAACAGTCCTGTGAAACACGGCCCTGCGTCGCTTTTTTCCAGTGTCGCAACTTTGAATGGACACTAAATGAATACGAGTAAGTCGAGGACTACCTGTATGGTAATTCTACAACTTGAAGGGGATTAAGTTCCAGCTAAGTCTTCAATCCTACATTCTCTTACTTACGGAATAAGTTCCTCTGAAATCAGTGGCTCCTACCTGTACTTATGTAAGATTTTTCTATCTGGGGCAAGAATTTGAAACGCCCGTTTGGAGCCTCATTCAGATGTAAGCCGTAAAAAGTAAAGCGCATGAGATAGAGACAGGTGTTCACTAGGCTTATTTATCAGGGGTGGTGGAGTGAGCCACATGCAGCTGCCTTGCCAAGTGTACACCTCAGAGCACACTTAAGTGTGCAAAGGCTGCAGGCTGACCTACATGCAGATCTGGGTTGATATTGAACGTCCTAATTCCAAGGAAGCATTGTAGTGTTGCATTTCCATAAACTTGGCCCAATTCAGGATAGCAAATAAAGGTTTGTTTCCTTAAAGCGCGTGTTTATTTCAAGATCAAGACCTCGGTTGATTGACTTTCTTTCCTGAGAGACTGGGTGCAATGCTGCACCCAGTTACATTGCCTGGCAAAGCAAACATCCACACCTGGAAATGCAAAAGCAAAAGAACACCCAACTAATCCTCTCTTTCTTTCACTTAGGATTTCAGATGTGTTCTAAGCTTCCGGGAGTGATAGCTGTTCAGGATACTGATGGAGACGAGAGCTCAGAATGGCAGCGGGTTACAACCCTTGCTTCAAGGCCAGCATGACACCGGGAGACAATTCGGAGATTCTGACCTGAGGGATGTCTTAGCACAACAAGTTCACGTCTTGTCCTTGGAGCAGATCAAGGCTATCCGAAACACAAATGAATACACAGAACCTCCTACGGTGGCTCCCCGGCCAGGACTGAAGCCAGCACCACATCCAGCGGTCCAGCACAAGAGCGAAAGGCCACATGACTTGACGGAGCAACGTCATCTGAACCGGCTTCAACATCCCCAGGTCCATGTTTCTTCTCGGCTACCACTCTCCCGTTCCATCAGCACGGTCAGCAGCACTAGCTCCCGTGGTAGCACAAGGACAAGTACGAGTAGCAATTCCTCCGAACAGAGACTTCTGGGGTCATCCTTGGGGACAGTTGTTGAGGGGATAATACGAGTACAGCCGAAATCGGAGCTGAAGTCTCGGGAGCTGAAACCCCCCAGCAAAGAAAATTTGCATATGCATGCTTACCGATGTGAGGACTGTGGGAAATGCAAGTGTAAGGAATGCACTTATCCACGGACTCTTCCATCCTGTTGGATCTGTGACAAGCAATGTCTTTGCTCAGCCCAGAACATGGTAGATTACGGGACCTGTGTCTGCTGTGTGAAGGGGCTTTTCTACCACTGCTCCAATGACGATGAGGACAACTGTGCTGATAACCCGTGTTCGTGTAGCCAGGCCCACTGTTGCACTCGGTGGTCCACCATGGGGGTCGTGTCCCTTGTTCTGCCTTGCTTGTGGTGTTACCTGCCAGCCAAGGGTTGCCTTAAATTGTGCCAGGGCTGTTACGACCAAGTTAACAGGCCAGGTTGTCGTTGTAAACAGTCCAACACGGTTTGCTGTAAAGTTCCCAAAGTCCCACCCAGGAATATTGACAAGCCAACATAGCATCACTAATCGGGTAATAAGGATGACGATAGAACATCAAATGGGGCCAGCTAAATGATCTATAACTGTGGCACTGTTTCTTGGTGGTTGGGGAGGGGGGGCAGCAGTGAAAAAAGTCCAATCTCTTGAAGACCCCTCTTTAGAATCCGCCCAGTGGAGATCCAAGTGGCAGCACCCAAGTATTGCATAAGCTAAGAGACTCAAGCTACTTCTAGGCAAACTCGCGTGTTGTGTGTTTGTGTGTTTTTAAAGGAATTAGTACACTTGTAAATTAGGAAACTACTTCAACCCACTCCCAATTTATTTTCTGCCAGAGATGTGCTATATTTTTGTATATAGGATATTTTCAACTGTGAAAACACAAGTGTCATAAAAACAAGTATGGCACACGAGTCACAAAATATTATACTAATATGTTGTACATTCAAAAGAATGTGAATCAATCCATATGGCTTAGATTGTATTTTTTGCCTTATGAAGCCCTTCAATTGCAAGACTCTGATTTCTTTTTTTTTTCTCTCTCTCTCTCCTTTTGGACAGTTGCAGTAAAATTGAGTCTTTATTTTCTAATTTTTCAATATATTGTCTAGTGTAAAGAATATTTATTTGAAGTTTTATTATTTTATAAAAAAAATAAATATTTATTTTAAGAGGCATCTTACAAATTTCACCCCTCTTTATGAGGATGCCACCATTGCTGCAAATTAGGGGTGAAAAAAACATATATTCCCTATAAAATAGAAAATATATTAACGTTTGAAATTAAACCGGGCTGTTTGTCATTTTTTTTCATCCGTTCCCCTCACTTCTTTGAATTGAGCAATTGCATTTTTCATTAGGATGTTTTAAAAAAGCAAGTACCAAAGGTATTTCTGTGAGCTTTTGTCTGGTTATTAGGGGATTCAGAAAGATATACAAAAGTAGAGTTAATAATAATAATAAAGTTGGAAGGGACCTTGGAGGTCATCTAGTCCAATCCCCTGCTCAGGCAGGAAACCCTATACCATTTCGGACAAATGGCTGTCCAGTCTCTTCTTAAAAACTTCCAGTGTTGGAGCATTCACCACTTCTGGAGGCAGGTTGTCCCACTGGTTAATTGTTCTCACTGTCAGGAAGTTTCTCCTTAGTTCTAGGTTGCTTCTCTCCTTGATTAGTTTCCACCCGTTGCTTCTTGTCCTGCACATGAAAAAGGTTGTTAAAAGGACTTAAGATCATCAGTAGTGCCAATATTGCATTCTATTATTGCCTCTGTCAAAAAAAAAAAAGCAATTATACAGGTGGTCCTCGACTTACAACAGTTCATTTAGTGACTGTTCGAAGTTGCAACGGCAATGAAGAAAAGTGACTTATGACCATTTTTCACACTTAATGACTGCTGCAACTGACTCATATTTATGATGATTGCAATGTCCCTGGGTCAACCTTCTGACAAGCAAAATCAAAGGGGGAGGGCCAGATTCACATAACAACCATGTTACTAACTTAACAACTGCAGTGATTCACTTAACAACTGGCAAGAAAGGTAAAATGGGGCAAAATTCCACTTAACTAATGTCTCACATAGAACAGAAATTTTGGACTCAATTGTGGTCCTAAGTCAAGGACCACCTTATCTGATAGCAATGTTTGTTTCCCCCACTAATGACAACAAATTGATACAAAGCAGTTACAGAATTAATATGGCCTGGGCAAGTGGATTATGCTTGTGGATATTAGAGGGAGAGAGGTTAACTGTTTAGATATACAGTTAACATTTTCAATAGCTGCATAAACAATGCCTTTCTATAGTCTGGGTTAATTATTCAGCCAGGTCTGGTTTATGACAAATGCAAAAAAAAAAAAAAAAGTTCCATGCAAAGAATAGAAAAGCCAGAGGCAAAATAATTTGTTCTGGAAATCTGAATGCACTCCAGTTTAGGCCAAGCTTCTGGTTGATGTATCTGCTAGAGCTACTTCTGCCATAGGTAAGTGTCCTTCTTTTACCAAGGTTCTCACAAGAAAACAAAAAATAACTGCCCAGTTGTATTAACAATCTTTTTGTCATTCGAAGTCCGGCCTTCCAAGTCCATAGTTCATAAGTGCTGATTACCCAGACAACAAGCAAATAAAACCTGCCACAAATGTGTGTTTCTGTTGGTGTATGAAAGGGAGAGAGAAATTGAGAGTGTTATTTTTATGAAATTGGCGGAGAGCCACGTGGAAGTGCCTCCGTATCCTTGCCAGTCTGAAATAATTTAAGAATGTAGTCATGATTGTGTTGGTTGGATCACAGCAGAAAGTCTGAAAAGGAATTAGGAAATTCTTTTTCCAGTGATGGATAATGAAATGCCTTATGAATTAAAGTCACAAGTGGACATGGAAATGTGGCCTGTTTTGTGAATTACTGGTGCAGTTATGCTACCATTTATTTGTACATGGAAGTTCCACGTCTGAAGAGTTTAATTTAAGCGGATCAGAAATGACAGTTTGTGCATGATAAATTCAGCTTTATCTTTGGGCAGTTTAAGCTGTTGACACATTTTCTGCCTAATAGAAGTTTTGCAAGCCAGGGGCTTCCTTGTGTATGTTTTTCTTGCTCTCCCAAAATCTTCAGCCAACGTGGGGCAATTCTGCAAGTTGAAGTTGGATATATGACTTCAAACAACAGAGTGCTGCTGTTGATGTAACCTGTGACATTTTGTGATCTTTGAGAGAATGACAGAATAACAGAAGTTGAAAGGGACCTTGGAGGTCTTCTAGTACAACCCCCTGCTCAACAGGAAACCCTATACCAGGGGTAGGCAACCTTGGCTCTTTTATGACTCGTGGACTTCAACTCCCAGAATTCCTGAGCCAGCATAGCTGGCTCAGGAATTCTGGGAGTTGAAGTCCACGAGTCATAAAAGAGCCAAGGTTGCCTGCCCCTGCCCTATGCCATTTCAGGCAAGTGGCTGTCCAATCTTCTTAAAAACCAGTGTTGGAGCACCCACAACGTCTGGAAGCAAGTCATTCCACTGATTAGTCGTTCTAACTGTCAGAAAGTTTTTCCTTATTTCTAGGTCAGTTCTCTCCTTGTTTAGCTTCCATCCATTGCTTCTGCTTCTGCCTTCAGGTGCTTTGAAGAATAGGTTGACCCTTTAAATATTGGAACACTTACTATCTAACCCGAGGATGGTTCCACCTTTTCAGACAATATATGCAACGCTGAAATCTTGTTTTCATCAGCTGTGGCGATCTCCACGTGTAGGTGATATTTTTCTGATAATATGGACAAATGTGGCTGCTATGCTTTCTTAAGCAAGTGCATGGTTTAAAAAAGATACATATTTATATTAGTTTGTCCAAAAGCTGGTTTTGCACATAAGCCCTATTCTTGCTATATGGCAAGTTTGGGGGCCTTATAAAACAAGATTTTTGGTGCTCTCTGTTGGACCATAATCTCCTAAACTGCCAGCAATGTCATTAAGATTTTTTATCAAATCAGATCAGCCAATCTGATCATCAGATTGTCAGTTATAAATTTTGAGATGATCAAATCAGAGATCCAGCTTGCTCTAGTAGTTAAGGCTCCAGGCAGAAAATCAGGAGACTGAATTGCAGTTCTACTTTACGCATGAGAGTCAGCTGACTCTTAGTCCAACTCGCCTCACAAGTTTGTTGTGAGGAAAATAGGAGTAGGAAGGAATATTAGATGTGTTTGACCCCTTGAGTGATTTATAAAAACAAATAAATTTGGGGATTGTTTTTTTAAAGAATAGATGGGACTACGGTAAAGTGAACGAATAGGTTTATGGCATAATGCTGCGATATGTTTGCTTGCATTCTCAAAACAATTGAGAGCAGTGTTTCTCCTCTGTACTCAGATCTGCAATAAGAAGATTGTGATAAAAAAGAATCAGCTGTAAAGGGCAGCCTTCTTTGTTGTTGTTAGTTGCGAAGTCATGTCCGACCCATCACAACCCCATGGACAACGTTCCTCCAGGCCTTCCTGTCCTCTACCATCTTCTGGAGTCCATTTAAGCTCACGCCTACTGCTTCAGTGACTCCATCCAGCCACCTCATTCTCTGTCAACCCCTTCTTCTATTGCCCTCAATCTTTCCCAACATTAGGCCCTTCTCCAGTGAGTCCTTCCTTCTCATTAGGTGGCCAAAGTATTTGAGTTTCAACTTCAGGATCTGGTCTTCTAAAGAGCAGTCAGGGTTGATCTCCTCTAGGACTGACCGGTTTGATCGCCTTGCAGTCCAGGGGACTCGCAGCAGTCTTCTCCAGCACCATAGTTCAAAGCCTTCTTAAGAGGGCACATTGATTTACATCCAGAACGCAAAAAAAGTGAAACCATCACTTTTGTGCCCTCCAGAATCAGCGGATTCCCCCCTCTTTGCATATTGTTGTTAGAGGTTAAGATGCAAAATAGGGACCTTTTTCAAGGTCCTTAAATCTCACAGGTGTACAAAGTAAACTAAATATCCCAGGTGTGGTCCTAACTAGATTTGGATTGTGCTGTTTACATGAACTGGCTTGATAACAGCCTTATTTGAGCTGAGCTCTTATTCGTAGTGGCAAACATGTGGATTTTAGACTTCAATAAATAACTCACAATGAATGTTCCATTAAAAAAAAAAAACCAACTGCGCTTAGAAAACTATCACTTCCGTTTTATTATAGAGAAGTGCTTATCTTTTCTTTTTTTTTCTTTCTGGCCTCATTTTCCATTTGTTGTTTTTTTTTTAAAGTAGAGCAATGCTAGTGAAGTTTTACCTGCTTTAGAAAGGAGTTTCTCTCAGAGGAAGTAGATTCTTTCCCCTAAATTATATACAACAGAAGATAATGCATGTTTTGGGGAAAGTGTTGAATTTATGGTGGATCACAACATTTGCTTGTGGATGTCTAAGGCTTTAAACAAACTTCCTTTGCAACTACTATGTCTCAGGCATTGCTCCATCAGTATTACTTATTTATGTAAAACTAATATTTTACATAGTAATTTCTATCTTACACAATAATTCTATTCATGTTGATATTTTACCAATAAAATCAAAGGGCCTGTTTTAAGCATTTGTAAGAAATAGAGT